TGCGGGTGGGAAAGGAATCTTAAGGATTTACTACCCCCAAGAGGACCCCAATTCAGTTCCCAGCAAAAATACCTGGAGGCTCACAACAGCACTCCCAACTCCAGCTCCAGCGGATCTGATTCCTCTTCTGGCCTTACGGCACCTGCATTTACATCACACATCCTCACATATATAATAAAAAAAAAATGTAATAAGAATTTTACCGCCCCCGCAGACTGCGCGGGCAGGGTCCTGCATGGATGATGACCACGCGTTCGGAAACTCAGGACCGGTGGGTGGAAGGGGTTGGACCCCCAGCCCAGAGCTCCTCTCAGTCAGGACCCACACATCGGGAGTCGGGTCGTCCCCAAAACCCCGCCATCGCCACATAGCCGGGGTGCAAAGGACACCGAGGGGCAGCGGACCACCAGCCCCGTCCCCTCGCTGGGGGACCGAGAGAGCCATCACAACCGGAACAGATCGGGAGCGGGGCCGCAGCTGCAGCGCAGTTCTCGCCACTCGGAGGCCGGGCCCACTCACCATGTCGGGATTCCGGAAGGGCTCGTTTCCGCTGTGTCGCGGTCCGGCCTGTCCGGGTGCCAAGGTTCCCGATCTCCGGGTTCCGGGTGTCCCAACCTCCTCAGAGTGACTCTCCCAGCGCTGAGCCCCTGTGCTCCAGGGAGGAGACAGACACCAGCCACATTGGTGACACCCACACAAAGCCCACCGAGCTGCCCTCCTCTCAAGCAGATACCCCTGATTGGACCAGGATTCAGGCTCTTAAGCCATGAATGACAGCGCGTGTTACCAATGTGAGACGGAGTCTGGACAAAATGACTGATTCGAGCACCTTGAGGCAGAGCCTCTTTGTTGGCTGACTTTCACCCGTGACATATTTGCACTTTCAGTGAATATCAGCAATCCAAGGAGGTGGAAAGAAAAAGAAGGCCCTAACCTGATTAAACTCTTGCCAGCTGAAAACCAAGAATTCCAGCATAATTTAAAAAAAAATCAGCACAAAGAAAAAAATGTGTTAAAAAGGTTACCTAATAACGACAATATACCTTTTACACTAAGACATTTCAAGAGGCGAGTCACACCTTTAACCCCAGGACGTGGGAGGTAGAGGCAGGATCTCTGTGAGTTGGAGTCCAGGCCAGTTTTACAGAGTTCCAGACCAGTAAGAGCTATATAACGAGATCCTGTTTCACCAAAACACCAACAAAAACCCAGACATTTTAAATAAGAATGTTAAAATACAGTGAGCCATGATTATGGTCTGTGTATAGGACCTTACTAATTCCCAGATGTAACCGTCGGGGAATTACACAAACAAGATCATGAACTTCATTTACAAAAGGGAAAAAAAAAAACAATGTCTTAACTCTTTTGTTGTTGATTTTGTGGGGTTTTGTTTGTTTGGGGGGGTTGTTTTGAGGAAACTGGATGACTCAATGCCACCATACCCTCATGAAAGCTAATGAAATCTTTTTGACCCTCAGTTCCACGGGATCAGCTGTCGTCCCACCCAGTACACCCAAGGAACCATACCATTTACTGAAGAAAGCAAGGTGGGGTCTATACCTGCACCCAAGCATATACTCCCTTTTTCCTAAATGCTTCCCTTTCTATTTTTAGCCCTTGCTTACACCTATGTTCAATATGAATAGACTGAATTATTAAACACCATTAGCCAAAATCTTTATTCTTGCAATTCTTGTAAGTTATCTGTGTCCAGTAAGTTGTCCACAGTAATGGGAAAGGGGGGGTTGTATGTATGCAATCTGTAGTACAGTGGTTTGAATGAAAAATGTCCCCCATAGTCTCTGGCATTTGAATCCCTGGTCCCCAGCTGGTGCTGCCTGAGGAAGTGTGGCTCAAACTGAGTGTGACCTAGGAAGTGTGACCTTGCTGGAGGAAGTATGTGGGGGTGTTCAGAGTTTAACGGCAGCGTGTGCCATTTTGAGTTGGCACTCCCTGCTTCCTGTTTGTGCTTCCATATGGAAGCCCTTACTGATGGCTGCCTCACTTCCCCAGCCTGGTGACGATGAACTCTTCTCCCTCCAGAACCATAAGCCCAAATGAAACTCTCCCTTCCTTCATTCCCTTACAATGGCATTCGATCACAGCCACATGAAAGTAACTAAGACAGGGGCGAAAGGAGACTGGTACCAGAGAAGTGTGGTTCTTGAGACTAAGCCTGACCATGAGGCTCTTAGGCTCCTTCAGCTAGTCTGTAGACGAAATTTGGGTGAATTTAGAGCTGTGTAGAAACCCTAGACTGTTGAATAGATGACTTTGGGGGGAGCTCAGAAGAGCAAACCATCCCCCAGAGGCTCGAGCATTTGCACACTGGGTTCCCTGTTGGTGGCATCACTTGGGGAGGTGGTTCAGCCTTGCTGGAGGAAGTATGTCACTGGGGGTGGGCTTTAAATGTCATAGCCTCACCCTACTTCCAGTTCACTCTCTCTGCTTTGGGACTGAGGTTGAGGACGTGATCCATCAGCTTCCTGCTCTGGCCACCATACCTGCTTGCAGTCATGCTTCCTTACCCTGGTGGACTCATTCCTCTGAAGATGTAAGCGCAAATAAACTCTCCTTCTAAATGTTGCCTTGCTTGTGTATTTTTATCACAGTAACAGCAAAGTAACTAATGCAACCAGAATATCAGTAGTAACTAATGCAACCAGAATATCTATAGTAACTAATGCAATCAGAATATCAGTAGTAATGAATACAACCAGAATATCAGTACTAATATAACCAGAATATCAGTACTAACTAATGCAACCTGAATATCAGTACTAATACAACCAGAATATCAGTAGTAACTAATACAACCGGTATATCAGTACTAACTAATATGACCAGAATATCAGTACTAACTTATACAACCAGAATATCTATAGTAACTAATACAACCAGAATATCTGCAGTAACTAAAACTGCTCATGAGATTTCAGATGGAAAGAGAATTTTATTGGGAATTGGATCAAAAGCCATTTTTCTTAACTATAGGCAAAGAGTTTGTATATATCTTGTTCACATTCTGAAGCTTTGTGGGGCGCTGAGTTTAATGGTGTTAATTTGCCAGAGGAAATTTCAGTACAGCGTGACATTCAAATGGGGCATGATTGTTGCTGACTGCTTTTAGTCAGGTAGACAGTGAGAAATTTGGAAGAAAAAAAAAGATACAGAACATAATGATTTGGAAAACATGGTCCCTGGCCAGAAAAGGTTCAAATTAAAAGTCATGGACTTGAAAATTTTATTGTTAAAAATTTAGTCTTATGTCTGTTTAAGAGACGCCAAGAACTTTGCCTGGGACAAATTAACCAAATGCCACCTACCTTAGGTTCCAGGATAACAAACTGTTAGCTCATCTGAAAGACTTTTCTTTGAGAAGAGAGTGCCAGTGGGGAACCCTGCTACCACAAGTCCACCCAAAGACAAGTTTCCTGGGCTTGGATTCCCAAGCACTTAGAAGTTGCTGTAGCGCTGCTCCAAGAGCGACTCTCTACTGCTCCAGCTGGTAGTTGGCTATGGTGTCATCCACTAGGTACTGGTTTTGTAGATATCTATGCACTACACTATGCATACTATGGCCCCCACTGGGTTTTTGTTGTTGTTTTGGTTTGGTTTGGTTTGGTTTTGGGGTTTTGTTGTTGTTTTGTTTTGTATTGTTTAAGAAAGGTTTTCTCTGTAGCTTTGGAGCCTGTCCTGGAACTCACTCTGCAGATCAGGCTGCCCTCCAACTCACAGAGATCTGCCTGCCTCTGCCTCCCAATTGCTGGGATTAAAGGCCTGTGCCACCACCACCTCCTAGTCCCACTGGGATTTGCAAGGAAGACCTGAGAAGGCAGGCAATGTGTATCAGAATCAAACTGACTGCAGGAGAGGGCAGTGAATGAAGCTGTAGGAAAGCTAGAAACGGAGCCTGTGATGGACACACTAATCCCAGCACTTGGGAGGCAGAGCCAGACAAACCTCTGTGCTCTTGAGGCCAACTTGGTCTACATAACAAGTTTCAGGCCATTTAGGGATACATCATGGAACCCTGTCACAAGGAATGCAGGGGAGCTAAAGCTTCAAGACGTCACTCTTGAAGACTCTAGGACCAAGAAATGTTTTCTGGACTGGACAGTGGTTGTGCACACCTTTAATCCCAGTACTCAGAAGGCAGAGGCAAGAGGATCTTTGTGAGTTCGAGGCCAGCCTCTACAGGTCTACAGAGTGAGTTCCAGAACAGCCAAGACTATACACTATACAGAGAAGATATACAGAGGAGAAGAAGAAGAAAAAAAAGAAGGAGGAGGAGGAGGAGGAGGAGGAGGAGGAGGAGGAGGAGGAGGAGGAGGAGGAGGAGAAAGGAACTGTTTTCTGAGAAAAGTTACAGGGAATGAATGAAGCCAACCTAAGAGAGGCCATGTGGCAAGGCCACAGAGATGAGACTGCCCACACCCATTGGAGCTCAGATGCTAGCAACACAAATTCCCCAGAGCTGAACATAGAGCTGGCCCTGCTGGTTTTCAGTCTTGGTTTGACCCAATCCCTCCTTTCTATACTCCCAACTCCTCTATTTAAAGAGGTTTGAACTCTGGTATTTTATCTTGGAGACACTAAACTTGTGTTTTTATTTATTTTATTTTATAGGGATCACACCTAGGAGTTTGTCTTCAGACACAAGAGACTTTGGACCTAGACTTCAGAAAACCGTGCGAACTGATAGAGCTTGGGGACTTTTGTAAATGGGGTAAATCCATCTTGCATTATGAGACAGCCATGCCATTTTGGTCCACTGACAGATGTGTGGCTTGAATCTGGAAACTTCCCACTATGTTCATGTTTTCAATGTTCAGGACTCGGTGATGTTATTTGGGAAGAGCAAGAAAGTTGTGGGGAATGAGGAACAGCTGGAAGAAGTTAGTCACTGGGAATGCTTCTTAGCCACATCTGTCTTGATCTCTATCCCACCCCCACCCTGCTGTAAACTGAGCCGACAGCTAGCACACAGCGTGAATTTTATTGATGTTATCTATTGTATAACATTGTCAGTTCCAATTTTACAAAGTGCATTAAGATTAAAGAATGGCCATAGAAAAGCATTTCAGCAATATAACTCGCAGCTATGTTGAAAACAGTGATACACTATATTATGTTTGAAAGTCAATTACCTAGCTGGGCAGTGGTGGCACACGCCTTTAATCCCAGCACTCGGGAGGCAGAGGCAGGTGGAGTTCAAGGCCAGCCTTGCCTACAGAGTGAGTTCCAGGACAGCTAGGGATACACAAAGGAACCCTTTCTCAAAAAATAAAAAAGTCAATTATCTAAATTAAACTATCCATGTATATAATGCAGGTAACACACTGCTACTGGGAGGATCTACTTAACTAATAGTATTCACTGTGCATTTAGAATTGTCCTAAGCCTAGGAATGAATACATAAATGATATAAATGATCAGAAGAGGGATCTTTGTCCTTCTATTGTTGGCACTATGATAGCCATGTATTATATGTCTTTCTCACCCCACTTGTAAGATGACTTACCAATAAATATGAAACTGTTTATGGGTTTGTTTCTCTTTCTTGTCACTTTTCACATAAGACTTTTTCACGGAGATATTATAAGTATAAATTATAAAGGGTTTTGAGTGTATATAGTGATAGCCTTAAATGCTGCGTTTGAAATGGATGCAATATTAAAATTTCATTAGAACCCTACTTTGCTTGGGACTATTAAGAAAGAATTGATCCAAATGTGGCTGAAGTACACAGAGACGAAGTTCTTCAAAGGCTGCATTGTCATAGAATGGGTCGGCATGGGGAAGGTCAACCACATTCAAATAAGTAACTGGGGCTTGAGAGATGGCTCAGCCACTAAAGGCTAGGCTCACACCAAAACATCAAATAAGTAACTGATAAAAATGTTTTAAATTTAAAAAGCCCTCACCTCAGTTTATAAAATCAGGACATTTTTAAAAACAGAACAAAGAACTATATCCCATACTGTACATGGTGATAATTTTTTAGCATACAGCCAAAATCTTTAGGAATTAATATTATCACTATAGTCTGCTGCCATCTAGATTTTGAACCTTTCATTTTCACTTCTACAAGTATGGCACCAAAGCATAGAAGTTCGAATCAAAACATAATGCTCCATTGCAATTAAAGTTATCAAGAATAGCCATCAATAGAATTTGATAAGGGAATAACTAATAATCATCTTTTACAACAATACTATATGCCTATGCATCCTCAAGAAAAATTCAATAGAGCTAGGCATGCTGGTTTACACTTATAATCCCAGCACTTGGGAGGCAGAAGCAGGAGTATCGCTGTTCAAGGACAGGTTGATCTACACAAAGTGCTAGCAAGGACAGCTAGTACTACATAGTGAGAACGTGTCTTGAAAAAATAAACAACAAAACACACACACACAAAGTAAAAACTCTAATTGTCAAAGTCACTACTGAAGTCGAAGGCACATTGGTGGCAAAGATAGGTCCTCTGTCTGATCACACATGTCTATACTATGCTAGATACTTCTTGGCTATGTTGATTAATAAACACAACCATGGAGTGCTGGTCCATGTTGCAACACCTCACAAGATACGCATGGCATCTTCCTCCCAAAAATTTGGCACTCTAGTACAAAATCACACATGCTAAATAATTGCTGAAAAGATTAGACTTCCAGTCAAAGTTAAGGACTATGCAGACAAGTTCACGGGTCCATGAAGAGAGGATAGTGAACTCCCAAGCAGCCGGAATGGTAAGAAGAGATCATTTCTTGCGATCTTTGTCCTTCTTTACATTGGTGTACACCTGCGCCTGCGACGTCTCAGAGGCGGCCTTCATTTTATAAAAATCTATGATTTGCTCTTCTAATTTTCTTCTCTCTTCTTCCAGTTTCAGGGTCTCCTCTTGTTGGATTCTCTTCAGGTGTTCAAATTTGTCCTGCAGCTATTTAAAGGAGGAGGA